AAGGTGGTGCCCTGGCGTTCTAAATAACGAGGTGTTGTTTGCACATTGCGCTGGCATAAAATTTGAAGTTGCCTTCACCATAGTTTGACACGTATATTTTACGTGAGTACATTAATGCCGGCAGTGATGTCATAATAGAACGCTGCTATAGGAGGTTTAACTTAAAACTTCATATGAGTACAAAAAAAACAATGAAACATTTTTATGAACATGGGAGCTGCTTAGGCTAAACGGAATTTGTGTTGGCAACTTTGACGACCACTGCGCCCAAGCCTGCGCAGCCTCCATCTCGTCACTGGTTAGCCCGGCTTCACACGGCGACTTGCTGCAAAACGCTTTCGATAAGGAACAGCGTCACCGCAGATTCACCGGAGGCTTACGTCACCACTGGTGGCTATAAAACCTAAGTTGCAAAGCTTGGTTTCCTTATCGCTCCGTTACCTCTGACGAGCGTAGCGTCAGTATGCTCGATGTTATGCTGTTTCTATAGATCGAACATAGACTTATGTTTCCTTGTTGGGATCAGACCTTCGTGGAACCGGCATCTCACACGGCCTATTCGAAAACTATCATAATCACAAAAGCACACGAAACACAAAAAGTTTGTAAATCTAACTACTCACTACTGGTTCACTGAAAATGAAGAATGTAAAATTTAGCCTAGAAAATGATAAATCGGTGTGTCACTTATAAATAGGGCATGTCCCGCTACCCACAACTGGCCAACTAAAAATGAAGAAAGCAACAGGTGACCCATCAAATAGCTGTGAAGCAACGGCGCCAAGCCGAAGACGCCGACTACTAGTACGCATAAGAACACAATACTAGGGAACGGAAAATTCCATGGCATCTGCGAGAAGTGCTAGAAGTTAGCAAAGACCTACGCCAATGAAGACGTGGCCGTGGATCTATGGGAGGTATGAACGCTTTGTTTCAGCTCGAGTTTTTGTTTCTGAGGTTTCGACAAACGTATAGTGTGTTTGACTGACCGTATTTAAACTCGAACCTCTGTTCGCAGAAAAATAAATTTAGAACCAGTCTAGCATCACTTAGCTAAATCCTTGGGACGATGTAGAAGTAATCTATAAGCAACCTCCGTCGCTTATGTGTGGCTTAAAAACAGCGTAGAAGCAACCACTTTAGTCTTCGAAATTGTCCAAACTCGCAGCCTCAAGTGTTGCGTGATTCAAAGCAAGCTTGACTACTTCTGTTACACTCTCTTGCTCGTAACTGACAAGTGAAATGTGACATGAAATGTATAAAAATGACAGGAACAAGTTAGCAAAAATTATAGTTTAAACCAACCGTTTCAAAATCTCTTAAATTTGACATTCCTCTTTGTTAATTATACATCTGTGCAAGGTCTGTTTCGTGTGTTAGTTTGTTCATAATAGTGATATTCAGTACACAAACTCCCGAGTTTCTGCCAAAGACGGCCATTGTCTTCGTGATAAAAATTTGAGAGGAATTTTATTGGGAGAGATACCAGGACAAGAGCGAATAGTACGGAATACGGCAAACAATATGGAGAGAGAGATGACACCCCTTCTTCGTGGCATATTAGAGGCGACGCACTGTGCAGTGATTGGAGCGACAACAATGGGGCCACTATTACAACAATGCACTGCATCGCCACAATGCGGACGTAGAGAGCAACGAATGCGTGTCTTGAACGAGCCGTGTTTGGGTGCTTACGCAATGAATGCGAAATGGCATTGTGCTCCCACAACACCGCTGACCTACACATGTCGTGTTGATGCGAATCACAATGGTCGGACCAAGCGTGTTTTATACGAGCATTGTACACTAGGACTGCGCAAATGCTGTAATTTGAAAATGTTACCAGGAGCGATTGCTAATTAAGCTTCGTGAATGCTGAGGACTCCGTAAAGAGGAAAAATGTCGTAAAAATAAAGCGCGAGAATGAATGGATTTCGAATGTTTTAGCGGTAAACAAAAAGAATGAACATCAATCTTTCATAACATTCTATGTAATGCCATGGCAGCTACCGTATTTTTATTCAGCATCCATGCTAATGCAGTCCCATATATATAGTTTCCAGTACCTGAGAGTGTGCCAGAGACACACTTAATCTAAGGAAATGGTAGCAAATTCTTCCAGGAACGTTGCAGCAGCTTTATTATCAGACTTCAAGTGAGCCTTACATTATATATATATATATATATATATATATATATATATATATATATATATATATATATATATATATATATATATATATATATATATATATATATATATAAGGGAAAGAAGTGTATACTTAAGGGCTCATTTTTCCGTGTTTCGACACAATATTATTGAGATCTAACAGACAATAATGCCAAGGAAGATATAGGGGAAGTTATTAAAACCAATGTAATGTAAACAAGAAAGAAAAGTGAGTGAAAAAATAACCTGCCGTGAGCATGGATCGAATCTACGACCTTCGAATTACGCGTTTGATGCTCTAACCACTGAGATATCACGGCGGCCATTCCCCCTAGCCACTTTATTGGGTTTACATGTGAATTTAAAAGTGGGAGTGTCAGTCAGCGTCATCTGTAGCTATAGCAGCGAGTGTGAAACACCCTTTTATGAGCCTATGTGGCGTCACGTGGCACGTGAACTTATCACGAGCGGGAAGCTGACCAATAGTCCCTCGTATACAACCTAACGGCACCAAGTCTGCCAGTACGAGACCCTCGCTAATGAATAAGGGAAAGAAGTATTTACCTAAGGGCTCGTCCTCCTGTGTTTTGACACAATATTATTGAGATCTAACAGACAATAATGCCAAGGAATGTATAGGGGAACTTATTAGAACCAATGTAATGTAATAAGAAGAAGAAATGGGGTGAAAAAATACCTACTCTGAGCAGGGAATCGAACATTATATATATATATATATATAATATATATTATATATATATATATATATATATTACAGAAGAATAACTTCGGTTGCCGCAAGGTTAAATATGAAAGTAGATGCGCTTTCACATAACAACTGTTTATTGTGCCGACGTTTTGACAGGAACCCTGTCTTTTTCAAGGCCTTGAAAAAGACAGGGTTCCTGTCGAAACGTCGGCACAATAAACAGTTGTTATGTGAAAGCGCATCTAGCTTTCATATTGATATATATATATATATATAGATATATATATATATATATATATATATATATATATATACATACGCACGAGTCATGCATGAAGTATGATTACGCTCTCCTCAAACATTTTGGCTAAACCCGGTGACGCAAACAACCAATACGGATGGGCTGCTCAAGATAATAGACCCGCCGTGTAGCTCTTATAGCCCGGACTATCCATTGGCTCTAATAACTTCCCCTGTACTTTCCTTGGCATTACTGTCTGTTAGATCTCATATATATATATAACAAGATCTAGCTGCTATACTTTCCTACGCGCACCGCGTACAACAATCGGGGGCATTTAAACGAAGTTTTCTATATTAACTACTTGCCTTGCGATTTACTGGAAAATAATCAGAAGGCCACATTTGCATTGCAACATGACTTGAGCTTAGAGCTGCAGCGCTTTTTAGGCGTGAAGCAAAGCAGGATTTACATTTTTTGCCGTACGCAACACAAAAGCGCTGTGAGGGTTTCTGTGGACTGCTAACCTTACCGAAACTTTATGTATAATTGTTGTATAGATATATTTGCTTGTGACTGTACGTATTATTTTGCTTATATTGAGCATTGCACATCTCATAGCCAACGTCCGACCCCTCAGTAGAAAGCTGCGTGGTAAATCAGGCTAACAGCTCCGCGAATAACATTAAATTTGTTATCTCGCTGTGTGTAACTTTCAGCCCAACCACCAATTTCTGGTGTGCTGGGAAATATTTCTATTAGTCTGAAGTGGTTAACATTCCTTCTTTTTTTCTACAGTTTCTCTTCCCTATAGTGATGTTTTGGCAGTTTTGCTTCAAAAAATAAAAAGATTCTTCCGAGCTGCGTGCTTCCACTAAACGTGGGCAGTGCGTACGCGTGTTCCCATTTTGACGACGAACATAGAAAAAACAATAGACACCCGAAACTCAAGGTCTCGTTCAAACACACCCCGCGGGGCTAGTGACAGGACGTGTATACCACATCGGCCAACCAAACATGTAATATTGCGTTGCCAAAGTAACGTACAATAAAGGCCAGAGGGAATCGTTATAAATTCGACAACTCTCGGGTGCCGACGGTGACAGTTCGGCTTCGTTCGCTCTTGCTATGTAGAGATTGCTAGAGGGGGAAAAAATGCTTAGATTGGTAAGTACACAACACGAAGCAGACTACAACCTTGACGCTTTACGACAAGGGGACAAAAGAGACGTCAGCGTCGCAAGTGTGGCGCGCGGCTTCCGGCAGCACGTCACGGCAACGTTTAGATGACGCAGGTGCAGCTGCCGAGAAAGAAGGGTCACAGGAAATTGGCAACGGAGCAGCAGCGGTAACGAAAAATAGAGCACGTAGTTGAAAAAGCTGAGGCTCCCGCGGCGAACCAAAAGAAGCACGGCACGTGTAAAGGAAAAGGAAGGTGGTACGGAAAGAGTACAGTGCTTTTCGGCTGCCAGCTCGGAGTCACCCTCCACATGTCAGGCGATGACGACACCAAGCACTCAAAATTTCCACGCGCCACAAGCTCAAATGAGTTTCGCTCTTGCCCGCATGACGTGAGTGTATACCGAAAAGTGGCGCTCGCGAGCAAGTTTTAATTAAGTACGACGGCCTTGCGCCACCGTGTTTGGTATATTAGTTTATTTCCTGTGTCATCCGCGAAATACAAGGCCTGAATAAAGCAGTGGGTAACAGAAGTTCGGAGTAGCCCGGTTGTTTGTGCTAGCGGATACAGAGTAGACGAGACAGCTCAGAAGAAGAGTTCGAAGTAAACGGTAGGTTGGCGACTGGGGACGAAAAGTGCTCGCTACGTTGTCGAAATGCTCTGCCAACACACGTCGTCTCCTGGGACACGGCGCGCTTACCTGAGCAAGGTGGGCTCGAGCCAAACTGCCGCGTTGACGAGTAAATTGCCGGCTTTCGACCGTAGCTAAGCCTCACAAAGTGGCACCCCCCAAGGGACACCGCCTCTTCTGGCACTCTCATTATGGATCTGTTTACACCGGCGTGAAGAAAGGAGCCGCCCACCTTCTGCTGCCCGAATGCTCCGACTCGTCTATGAATGGTAGATGAAGATAGAGACGATACGCTGCATGACATGTAGAAGTTGTTATCCGTTGTAGAGTCGTGACAGGCTAATGTTAGGTGGGCATATTCACCGAATTACAAGGGGGTTGGCAGTCACCGGGATAAGATGGATGACCTACCTTATAATTTACAAGCCAGCAAAGCTGGTGAAAATCTGTAGCTACAAGGATATGTAAGTGTAGCGGAATGCGAATAATGACCGTGTTGAGTTTAGTTAAATAAACTTTATTTGCCGATCGGTTGTGGCCGGGGCTCTGCTTTCGGTGATCCACCGTTCGAGGAACACCGTGTTATCGTTCTTCATTATTTCCATTGCGAAGTTTCCAACAATTCGCACCAGAAATCGTATTTATGACATCGAATACTTCCGGGGAATGTGTGGTTTAGTTGTAGCTGTCTGTGTAATTCCTAAAACTTTGTCAATAATGGGGTTAACTAATCGCACCTTCTAAGGTTCGTACAAAAGCACAGCAATTGATGAAATAACTTCACGCTTTAGATGCAGTACAACTTAGAATATTCGAAAAAAAAGCAATAGCAAGCATCAATCTCAACAGACACATTCGTTTGCAAATTACAGAGTGGCCAGTTCTACTTTCATGTACAGGTCTTTTATGCAGGCTACAACAGCAGCATTAATTATGCACAAGAAAGATGTGCAAAAGAAGGCAATAAATAGACCACCCATCAGGTATATCAATCCTGAACTTGAAGAATGCCACTTAGCGCTAGAATAAACAAACAAGGTTCTACTCGCCCACTTCTCGAAGCGCATGGTTTCAGGCTGTGCGCACAGCGCCTAAAAATGGTGCACTATGTCAGTCAACTTCAGGTACTGGAGCAAGGCTTTCGTTCTCGTTTGAGCCGTCGACACCCGCAAACAGAGTTGGAGATAATTTCTAGTCTACAGGTTTGCTGCACTACTACAAGTTCAATTCTCAGATAACGTGACACTAGAGTTTATATAGGAAGAAAAGAGCATGCGTTGAACAGCACTGGGCAAACTCTTTCATACAAATGCGAGTGTGTGTAGTGTTCACAATATTCTCCTATAGTAAACATCTTCCCGTGAAAGCTTAGTGGTGCGCCCTCGTTCGTTTAGTGTTTTCGCAAATGTACCTCCACTTTATTACGAAATTGATATTCTACGGAGCAGTTGGACGCAAAAAAAAATCCAACAGTGATAGTTTCGTAACCTGATAAGTTCGCGCAGCTCTTATAAGAATTGATGCAATTTTCATTTTTTTAGTGTTGCTATTAAACTCGACAAGCACGAAAGGATGTTATTGTCTGTATCTTTGGGAACCAGGCTTCTCAGTTGTGGTTTTCATCCCTTCACAAAAACTTCGCACGAGTAGCAAACATTTGTGAAATCCTGAGTCTGCGGAAAATTGTCGATAAATACTCAAAGCTCGTTCCTTATACGTACATGCGAAGGAGCGATAACTGCACATAAACACTACTAACACCTTCACCGTAAACACTTATTACCCATGCAAAAAAATTATCTTCGATTACTTTCAGTTTGTAAATGCATTCGTGTATATTAAACAAACAGTAAATGGCGTGTTGAAAACACTTCTGCATGTATTATGAACGCACCAGAGATCTTAGTTTGGTACTCGAGTGTAACGGGCTTCATGTTCTCCCATTTTATATTGTAAGAAGAAAAAAAATTGAGGAAGATTAAACGAAACAAACCGAGCAAACTCGTTTGGAAGAATTTGAACTGAGCAGCATGAATAATGCATGGAGTTCTTTGAATGCTCGCTTGAGCATATACTCAGGCATTATTATATTATCACGCTCCTAAACTGAGTCCTTCACGTTGGTTAGAGCGCGGCATTTCTTAAACCAAACGTTCTCAGATGCATTCATTTGAAGAAGCAGTTTTTTTTTGCTAAGTGTGTTTTGCTTTGTCGCGTATTCTTTTAACGACAATATTTCTCATGTTTTGCTGAAGTATTGCCTTAAGCACCTTGCTCTGAGTAGTGCACGTGCTTTAATCCTGCATCAAACGAAGCACGTATTATACTAGGGCCGACTATATTCCTTTACTGTAGACGTACTTTCACTTCATTTGGCAATTTATAATGGATCAAGCTTAAGCGTATACCGTGGCCGTACAGTAATGCGAACGCTGTGCTTGCTAATTAATTGATTCATTCATTCATTGATTTGTGGGGTTTAACGTTCCAAAATCACTATATGATTATGAGAGACGCCGTAGTGGAGGACTCCGGAAATTTCGACCACCTGGGGTTCTTTAACGTGCACCCAAATCTGAGCACACGGGCCTAAACATTTACGCCTCCATCGGAAATGCAGCTGCCGCAGCCGGGAATCGAACCCGCACCCTGCGGGTCAGCAGCCGAGTACCTTAGCCACTAGACCACCGCGGCGGGGCACTGTGCTTGCTGTGCATTTCTTCTTTCACATGAAGAAAATAATATTTTCGTTTCTTTAGCCTTGCATATTTTTTCCAGATGATTACTATGCACTCAGTTTTCTCGCTAACATTTTACAGAAGAGCTGCTATACGCTTTTTCAGTGTAGATCGCTGCTTGCGGAGACTGCCCGCCATAGTGAATGGGTGATTGGTCTCGGCTGCTGGTTTGAAGGTAGCAGAGTTCGACCCCGAACGTGGTAGTGGCTTTATGGGCGCGAAGTGATATAGAGACACGAGTACCATGCGATGTGCGCAACACGTTGGTGAACACTAGAGGGTCGTAATTTTCCGAGCCCTCCACTAGGGCGTCTCTCATAATATCCTGGTTTTGGAGCTTAGAACCGCGGACAGCACCTGCGTATATCGAGCACGTAAACTGAAAACAAACCGTCGTTGCAGTCTTGCCGTTGGCATTTGCAGCTGCGTGCACCCGTTGCGACTGCTGGTCGTGATTAAACGGCTTTTACTGGCTGGTGTAATAAAAGCCTTTGGCAGGCTTACATCTGAAGCAGAGACAGAGGATTACACGCCTCAGAAGTATCCTGGCTTTGTAGAGATGGAATACAAGAGATAAGTCTCGCCATGCGCTCTTGAGGGCCCACCCAAGCTGCCGACAAACGCGTGAAGGTATTGTCATGCCGACAGCACCAGAAAGCAGAGTTGTATAGGGAGGGCCAAAATCTACAAAAACTTCCTACTCTTAAAAATTTTTATTCAACTCTCAAATGAGATTTTGAGCCTGTAGGCTTAACATAGCCTCCCATTTTCACCAAGTGAAACAGCCCTGCAGTTAACAATAATTGATGTGTTTAGCTTCCGAAAACCACGATACCAATAATCAATATTCCCTAGTGGGGGCTCTTATAGTTTCAACCACCTGGGGTTCCTGTACGTACACCTACATCAAGTACACGGACATCAAGTACTTTCGCCTCTATCGAAAATGCAACCGCCATCAATGGGATTCAATCCCGCAATAACTTGCAAATATATGGACACTCTCGGCTTATTTTCGCTTTCACTGTCGCCGTCATGTACAGGATATGTATATAAGTATGTGTAAATATGTGTACATTTATGAACGGCGCAGAGAATAATAATCACGATAAAATAATTGATCTAGCGACACCTCACTCTTCAGCGCACTGAAATAAACAACTAGGCGGCGCGGCTCATACTGTCCATCTCACTAGCGGCGAGCTAGGTATATACTCCATCGACCTCTGACTTACTCTTAATGGACCTGAAAGACAAATTCTTGAACAAAGCTTGTACTTTGTTTGGACAAGCCATACACACTTTTCCTAAACATAGACATATCAGATGACTTGATCATCGGAGTGGTGGGTTTTTTAAAGCCCATACAGCTGGCTAAAAGATGATCCGAAATGCCTGTGACTACACTTTACTCTGAAGCAACATGAAAAATTGTTCGCATTAAGGCCAGGTTTATTCGTCAAGTTGCTGATCCTGTCATGCCTGTGTACTCAGGTACTATCAGAATGCGCACCGCCACTTCCACTTTAGAGAGCACAACTCAACTCGCTGCCCAGATGAGTTGTGGTGACGCTTGCGCCGGTAAAACATCGAGTGGCTTTGTCGTTGCAACAGTGTACCACCAGGAACCTTGCCGACGAACGTAATGAACTACTTGCTGCACAATTTCCGTGTGGTGTGCCTTACATAATGTACCGGTAGTCCTCATTTCAGACTTTAACGTTAATGTACTTTGACGTGAAAACTAATGACTTGTCGCGTTTTCTCGATGCCAAATTTCGACTCCTGTCGCACGTCATCGTGGTCAACTATTTCCAGCAACACCTGTTTAGGTATTGTGGTTACTGAATTACTGCTCAATTCAAGCACAATTGATCCATGTTTACTACATTTCGTATGGTTCCTAAATCTCCTAGACATACTTCGTATAACAGACCGTTCAGTTGCTATCACATTAATTGCTTCAACGTTGTGCCGAAACTGTGAGTTCGTTTTTGTCAAACTCTCTTTATTACTTCGCCTTAGGTGCACGTTAAAGAACCGCAGGTTCTAGAAATTCCCGGAGCCCTCCAACTGGTGTCTCTCCTAATAATATGGTGGCGTTGGGACGTTAAACCTTAACTATTTCTAAAGTGCCTTTATTGGAACACACATTTGATGAAACATCGAGTGCGCTTGCATTTTGTGTGATCTCACCGTAAACAATAACGCCACTTTTTCTTGTCATGTTGAAAGTTAGTGCTTCTCACCTGTGCAATACCTTTGAAAAAGGTCAAATTATTTATGAGAAGTGACTTTTAAACATGCAATTCTGACTAATACATGCTCTTATTTTCTGCGAATATAAAGAAAGGCTACTTTAGTTCAAGTGAAATATCAGGTGGTTGTCAACGTATCTTGCAGTAGTTGTTTCTTTTCAGCCCTTGTGTTTTTCGTACTTTCTCGTGCTCAC